ATTTCGCTTTGGATGAAAGTGTCTGCTACATAAAAATAAAAATGGAAGTATTTACATAAACAACATCAAGGTGGTAAATTCACAATTTTAACATGCTGAACATTACAAAAAGCAGGTTTCATCGCAATATACCATTATTTGAATGTAACATAGGAAAATTGCATTAAAACATGACTGTCATGCACTCCCCTGCATATAAGCTGTATATCTTGTCTTCCATGCTGCAGGCAAAATTACCCCCTATATAAGCGAGCAGGTGTCCGACTGTTGTGGATTGGTGGCATACAACCCACTGAACCACCTGTGCTGTAATTCACGCCTTTACCCCTTGGAGCCTGAGATCACGTGCTGTGGGGCAGGTCAGTGATCGTGTCACCAAAACTGTGGTCTTCCTATAACTTTTGCGTGGCTGGCTGTTATATGGTTTTTCAATTCATTAGATGAGCATATTGCATTTTAACCCACTTTGTAATTATATATACAGTCAGGGGCGGATTAACGCACAGGCTAGATATGGCTTAAGCCTAGGGGCCCCACGTGTGCCAGCCTGCAAGGGGGCCCCCATTGGTGCGGAGGGGGGTGGGGTTGGGGGGCCCACAGACTACTGTAGCCTAGGGGCCTCTGTGCACCTTAATCCGCCCCTGTATACAGTATATGTCAGACTATGCAGTTGTGCCTACTTATATCACATACTGTAGATTTAAAAAGTTAAAAATGCTAAATTTTTATAGATTATATTTCATACATGTATTTAGGGCTGTGTGTAGCTCATGAGTTCTATGCCTGTAGTCAGAAGGTTATTGGTTTGAGGCCCGGCTTTAGTTGAAGAGTCACATGTCTGTGGGCCCTTGATCAAGGCCCGTAACCCCAGCTCCAGCAACACTGCATACTGGCTGACTCTGCACTGTGACACTAACTTTTTTTCCATTTGTCTTAGTAAATTGTTGTTTAAGTTGGGCTGGTGGTGCTTGTTAACTGCAGTGTTGAAAACGTGCCAGAGATTTTCAGAAGGATCGAGACCGGGACGTGGATATTTACTTTTTCATTCCCGTCTCTTTGGCCCAGCACTTATGATAACGGCCCTGCTGAAAAGTCTCCTTGTTATCTGCATACGTCAGTTTCCTTGTTTTTATCACACCTGAGTAACGTCACTTCTGATCTATGCTCTGTTCCATACATGAGTTGCTCCCAAGTTTGCTAATACGCATCTCTGAAGTGTGACACAGCCACCCCCATACTTTATGGCACAGATGGTGGATCTTAAAACATGGGGGGGGGGAGATAGGATGATTCTGAGCACCCATGATTGACAGCGGCTCTAAAAAATTTGGAACATAATTTGATTGCTCTGGGCTGGGGGACCGATATGATATATTTTCATGGGTTGAAAATCTCCAGCAGCTCCCCCCTGACTGCTCATTACTGTTTATTTTAAGTGTTTATTTACATTTGACAACTGATCCATAAACAACATGGGATTTTTATCCCAATGTGATCGCAACATGAGATACTGACAGTAGCATAAAAGACTTGTTTTTGTTTGTGTATTCCTCGGGTAGCCTGTAATTAAAGAGAAATATTGAATCTTAAATGAAAGCATATTGAATTATCACTGTTTTCTGTACCTCCGTTTCAGAGGCTATTAATACTACGGAGCAGCTGTGTTGTGGTTCCTTTGCAAACATTACTGCCAAAAAGTCTAACGATGACCTGTGCTGTGGGGATGTATCTTACAATCCTTCTACACACTGCTGCAATCGAGCGACTCTCAAGATTCAAGGTCTGTGTGCTGCGCATACTCGCGTGCTGCGGAATATGTTAGTGTACCAGGATAAGCGGTTTGGAAAATGGATGGATGTTAAGTGTACCAGTTAAACACAAGAAGATTTGCATGCCGACTGAGCATAGTGTCACATGGTATATGTGTTTTAGTAGCACTAACATCAGACCAGGAAAAAAAAATTACCTAGCTGAATCTGAACTTTGAGAATAATAATAGAATAGAATAGCCACTTTTATTGTCATTCAGAAATATCAGAAATAGAATACCTTTTGTCATTGTACAGCATACAACTAAATTTGGTATTTCACTCGAGTGACAATGCAGAAGAAATGAAAATCGCATAAAGAAATAAAAGTAATTTAAATAATAAATAAAAACAAAATATATACAAAAATATACAGCTCTGGGGAAAACGAAGAGNAGAAATGAAAATTGCATAAAGAAATAAAAGTAATTTAAATAATAAATAAAAACAAAATATATACAAAAATATACAGCTCTGGGGAAAACGAAGAGTATGTATTTTTTAACAAATCTGCATTTTTAAATCCTGGTTTAATCCTGGTCCTGTTGGCTGAAGCTACACTGAGCAGCAGGTCACATCCAGGTTCAAAGTTTCTAAGACAGCAGTACACAAAAATAACGTGAAGCGGGAGATACTGGGAACGACCCCCGAAACCAGCCAGGTGAAGGCAGAGGTGGATAGTTTCAGTCCTGAAAGTAAAAATCCAGCCCAAAATTTAGTCTCAACTAACCAGTTGAGTATAAAGAGTCACAGTCACAGAGTACTCAACTGGTTGGTTAAAACAAATTCTTGGTCCGGAATTTTACTCTCTGGACCTGAAATGTCCGCCTCTGCTTTTGGGGTTCAGGGCCTTTCTCAAGGGCCCAACAGTGACATCACTCTCCCAACCACAGGATTTGATTAGGGTGCAATGTCGTAACCCAGTGTGTGTGTGTGTCTATACATATACAGTATATATATATATATTCACAGACACACATCCATATGTTGAGAAATGAGTGAAACAAAAAATGTTACTGTGGTCTCTTAATTTTTTCCAGGGCCGTATAAGTATATGCATTAAGAAATTTATAACAAGGATAAAAAGATGTCCCTTTGTGTCTTTTTTAATGTTTTCTTTCGTATCCCTTTTCCTCATCAGCAAACGGGTCATGTCCTGAAATAGTAAGTATGATGGCTTTGTTTCACACAAGTATTTATAATTTATTCAGGAGCATTGCTTGCATACGAGGCATATCCCTGAGTCTGAAACTGGGAGCTTGGCTATTAAAACATCTGAGCGGAACGAATTGGGCTTGTTTGGATGCACTTGGGGCTTCAGCAACCACATATACAGTGCTAAGTCATTGGTGATTTGGAGTTCCCTTTGTGTGCGTTATCACAGGCCTACACCCCTGCACCCTGGGTAATTTTATATACACCAAATACACCTGTCTG